TGGAGCAAGTACGATACAAAAAGTCCATGCCAGTAGTTGCTGCGACGCTTTGGGAAACAAAGAGATAAATAAAAAAATTTCTCTTCAAAATATCTTTTCAAAATAAATGATCAAATTCCGTTCAAGCAATTACGATAAAGTGTGTGCAAGCATGGAATTACATGCACCAGTGGAAGCAGTAGTCAAAGACCTAAGGATTGAGATTTGGCCTTTTCGCGGCCAAAAACACGCTAGTTCTGCGCCTTGGGGCTGCTAATCTTCCCTGAGCTCCTCCTCTGCCGCCTGTGCTCCGCCCCTTACCATCAGTAGTATCATTGCTTTTATCATTTAGATGAGGTATTCCACTTCGAGTGCGTATCCTATAACTTTCCCATGGAATGCGTGATCAATCAAAGCATGATCTTTGCTGAATGATAGAGGCTATCGGTTTAACATGTGCAAACGACCTCCTAATTGGTTGCTAGCTCGTCCATTATCGGAGGTCAACGGGCAAAGAAAGGGTCCCATTTTGCGCCTTCTTGACGGATTTCTTTGCTTTTTTCGCCACTGGGCATTATTCAGCATCTCCACTTCCACTATGAACCCAGTCCAATCTTATCGTAATCCCCCACTTGAACGCATTGCAGCCCATGTGCATCGCCGAGTATGCACGAAACTCCCCCATATGACATTTGTACATCACCGGATATGCACACCGGTTTTAGGCTCTCCTTCAAACACTTTCCATTACTTTTGTAACTATGTATGTGCTGATGAATTAACATGTTGTCTCCCATGACGTCAGTGAATCCAACACCTCGGATTATATCACCTCTATCGGCTAGGTGGCAGCTTGAGTTCACATGAGGCCTGACTGCTAAAGTTTATTGGAATAGATCCTTGGATCCAAACCGGCTCCGAAAGGCGCCGAGCTCCAAGCTATCATCGCATTCGTGTTCAGGGACCAACACAGCATTTCCCCAATCTAGTATGTGTCATTTATCACTTGTCTCTACCGTAATTCTGCTCTAACTGACAGAGGAGTCCCTATCGGAAAGGTGAAAAGGCATGTGTTCTTTCGTGATCCACTGCTGCTATGCTTGCTATCTAGTGCGACATATGATTAGCAGCATATACGTACAGCACTAAATAGCGTTAAAAAAACATCTAAATCCACATCAAAGGCATGAATGAGTTCACAACAGCCCAGCTGGCGCAAAACGACCTACTTCGCCTGTCAACATATCTGCTGAACGAACGGCGATGTACTTTGGACATTGTACTCTGTTTACGCTCGCGCTGGTCGACCACGCATCCTTGACATTTCTTTACATTTCTACATCTTTCCTGTTTCTATCTTTTACTTCGTTATCACTTATGTTCAAAAAATTCAATTTCTAAGCAATTCGTATGCCATCTTTGCGAAGGAGATGATTTTCTGAAATTTTTCAGTCATTGGGTAAGGTTCTAGGGATCTAAACCAGAACAATTAAATTTTTTAAAATTTGAAGTCGAGCATTTCGCAAGGTAGCTATTTAAACGAAGAACTGGTGCTATCAATCAGCACTGACGATTCTGAAGTTCAGTCGTTTCATTTAATAAAACTGGCTAGACTCTTAGCGAGCGATATGCAATCTGCTGTGCGCAAAGTTCATCAGAGTCCTTCATATTCATAGCAAAAGTGTGGTGGCTTTCTTCTCCCACATTTCTTTTCTTTCTATTCGATTTTTCTTTCTCTCTAATTATTGGCCGAATGATGACGGAGCATTAACAGCTGAGGCAAAACTGAGCCGTTGAAAAGGAAAATCACGACTCGAACCTTGGCTTTATACAAGTGGGGTGGGCACGCCCAGCTTTCCACGCATGTCAAGTGACTGCCCTCAACCCCCCCCCCACTTTCTAGTTGTGTGGTTCACTAGGTCAGGAAGCGAGCTTCGCGCGCGAAACATTTTTCAAGAACCTCAGGTCCACTGCTGATCATGGGTGGACCTGAGTTCCCACAGCGAAAAATGTTTCGCGCTGCGAAACGTGAAAAAGGTCGCTTCCTATTCTACATTTCTGTTCAAAAAATACGGCGTGCTTGTATAGCACCCGAATTTGTCTTTGTTCACACGCTGTTATATTCTTTCAACTACTACCTCTAATTTAGTTTACCCTCGAATGTCCTGGAAACCGTAGTGCCAAGTGGGTTGGGGGGACCACGCGGCGCGGGGCTCTGTTCGCCTGCTCCTCCAAGACTTAATTGCGAAGATTTGCTGCAGGCCTCGAGAATAGTCCGGCAAATCTACTTGCAATTTGGCCCATAAGGGAACCCTGATGAAGTGATTCAATTGGACTTCATATCTATAGATCACCAAGCCATTTTGGTGCAAGAATTTGGCCTAGTATGACACAAACTTACGCCTATTTCGATTGTGAGACAAGAGGGCCACGCACAACTTTTCGAACAGTACTGTTAGGGCCTCACAAGCTGAATAATACTGGCGAGCGATGGATGTCACGAATGCGCTTTTTTTCAAATCTAAGGGGATGGTTTTCTCGCCATAGATGACAAAGTAAACAAAACAGCTTATATTGAATACGGTTGTGGAAGTAAATAGCATTCCACTTTGGCGTACTATGCGACAATGTTCACTCTTGCTCTACGCGTCTGTGAATCAAGAATACCCCATCAAAACAACAATATTACCAATGCGGAGGAGAAAAGGCTTTTAAGGAAAACTTACAGGCGACGATGGAGAGCGGAGGCTGAAGAAAATTGATGTAGGTTCGGGATACTGTAGACCGCAGGTAGTGTGGATTACACTCTAGCTCGACGCCTAGCTAAGATGGAAGTATGAGCGGAAGGAGATGAATTTTGAGCTTTATAAGGTAAACATTTCCATTGCCATGGATGATTTACTCGGACTTTTGCTCTGGAAAGATCTCTCGAACACTACCGACTGGCTTAGTTATGTCGTCAGACTCAGGTGATTTCTGGAAGGGCAGACGATCGCAACGTCCATGCGCTCGTCCGTCACTTTGCCAGTCCGCTTCGTCCATTCCGCGGTGTGGCAATGGCGATTTGCCAATGCGCGGGAGTCTGGGCCGAAGCCTTGGTGGAGGGCCTAACCCCACCTGTACGTGGCTCTCCACAGACCCAGATGTCAAGTGAATTTGATGGCAAATCACTCACAAAAGCTATCATGCACTTGTCCTCAGATGCAGATCGATTCAGGGCTGGATTCATTGTTTCTGCAGTGCTGTCTTGAACTGTACCAGCCCTGGGCGTTTCAATGCATGCCGTAGTGTCGGGTCGGCACTGCTAAAAACCTCCAAGTTATCGGAATGTACATGGCAGGCGGTTTGCGGTCGCTTTCGATGCAGGCCTTCCTTCACAATTCATTCGCGAACGTTAATCGTTTATCAATCGCTCGATATGGAGTTTTAGTGGAAATATGCGCCGATGTACTATCTGTCCGAACGACCAGTTAGTACGGATTGTGATCTAATTTTCGAGTTCATCCCAAGCTAGGGGTGGCATCAAAGTGGCGGTGCCTCACACGATCGTCACTAGGGACAGGAGGCGCCGCGCCGCGTTCAAATAAGATGTACCGCCGCGACAATGCACACAATGCGCTATACCCTACGCGCAAAACGTTTGTGAAAATGGGGTTAACCCTTTGAAGACAATGCGGATTTGCACGTAGCGCCCAACTCCCGCACAACATGGGGCAAAATTGTCCCAAAAGCAGTTTTCTAAAAATTTAGGCTTTGGCAGTATGCAAGATATGATTGCAGTCTTATGCTTTATGATAATGTATTGTCGGAGTCAGAAGTGGAAATTCGGAAAGAGAACTCGCGCATTTCAAAGGGATGGTGGTATTAAACTCTAACGTTTCATATGTACAGTAGAAGCTTCGATACAGTCTCAAACTTCCTAATTGTGTCTTAAATTCTGGAATGATGTAGGGTGCCTAACGATATATTAAAGCTGCTGTAAGTCCTCTCGCGATAAGGTGAAAATTAGTTAATATGTTCGCGCTGTGAACTGTCCACATTCTAAAAGTTCATATTAGATTAGCTAGTATTAAAATTCTGTAAATAAGGTGCGTAAACTAATAAGTCAAGAAGTTGCTTATAATTAGAAATGCATAGTTGGATAACTGTTTTAAATAGTAGTGAGAAAGGGAAAGTTTAAGGTGGATCACTTGAGGTGGCCATGTCCAGCGCGGTTATAGCGGCACCCACCGGTGGGTGCGCATTTGTCGTCAAGGGTTTAAAGGGCTTGGGAGCGTGTTTTCGTGCTAAAGGAGATGGGTATGATCTCTCGGAGACGGAGGAACATTGTGCAGTATCAACCGATTCGTGTGGCGAATGCGTTTGTGTCATAGTCACGGTACGCTTGCTGAATATGACTGGATGGCTTCTGTGACTCATTTGTCATTTTGTTGCCTAGCAGTGCATCTGAGATTGTGCCGTGGTGTCTTTTCCACTCCATTTCCTTGCCAGTATCTTGGATCTCCTGTGTTACTTTCTTGCTCCAAGAGGTCGGTTGATTTCTCCTGAATGTTATATTGTGTTGACAGATTTGGTTGTGGTGGCGCTCATCCAGTAAGGGGGGCATCAAGTGGCTGCCCTTACCACCCACCCCTTAGACTGCCTACACTCCCCCTGGCGCACAGGTTTCTCGAAGTACGGGACCCCGTGAGCCAGGGGGAGTGAAGCCAGTTCAGGGGGGTTGGGGGGGAGGGGTGAGGGCAGTTATTAGACGTTGCATCACAATGCCCCCCCCTTACCGGATGAGGCTGGGTTGTGTTTTTCGGATGGGTATTGCAGATCAGTGACTATATTACCAAGTGATGTCACGAGTGTTGCCCAACCCCACTTGCTTTCGGAGTATATTATTGGTGTACCAGTGGTAATTAGGGTGTGCGCGTCTACGGCAGAGGCAACTTGGCCTCAGTAGCATTGTTATCCGTTTTGCGCACGACCGAGAGAGGACGCTCGAACCGAACGAATCTGCGCAAATGCGAAATGAATGAAGTGCGTATCGATCCACAAAATGGGAGGGGCTTCGAATCGCGCATTGGAATCTGCGAATCCTCTTGAAAGGAATTAGTGTCTATCGATCAGTCAATCGGAGATCGCAGCATCGAAACGGCGGTGCGAAAATCCTCTAGCAACGCTAATAGGGCGTGGTTTACTACGTCGATACGTATCTAAACCTTTTCGCATCCGCGTTCGCGCGTGCGCGGATTCACCTGGTCGATACGTATCTTTTTCTTTTCGCAGATTCGAATATTCCGATGGTTCCAAAACTATGAACAATGCCTAACCCTGTGATAATGGTATATATTCTTCTTGAGGTTTCAATCGCAAGTTGTAGACCTCACCTTGTCTTTCACTGCACTGTACTTTACTATGTGTCACAGTTAAGGTGTTTCATGCACTCCTTTGTATGTTCGGCCTCCACCTGGCTCGCACAATGTTCCTCCGTCTCCGAGAGATCATACCCATATTTGCCAAGCTCAAGCCTTTAAGCCTTTTTTCAAACGTTTTGCGCGTAGGGTTATAGCGCAGTGTGTGCATTGCCGCGCGTAACTTATGTGACGCGCGCCGCGCTCCTGTCCTAGGGAGATCCCTCACCCCCCCCCCCCCCTGCCATCCCCTAGACTGCCTGCAGGGCGTGTGGAGGGTGGGGGCGGGCACCCTATCGTTGTTACTTTTCGAAAATTTTTTACGACCCCCCTCCCCCAAGGGGGATTTGGTACGACCCCTCCCCCAAGGTGGATTTGGTACGACCCCCTTCTCGACCCTCGACCACCATATTCCTCTCTATAACATTAACCACTACCACTCAACCCTCAAAACTCCGCCCACTTTTTCCTCCAAAAATGCCGTCGAGCGGGGGGGGGGGGGGTATATAGTCCCTCTGAAACAGTAAAAATTTTCCCATAATTTCCCACAATTCCCTAAATTTTCGACCAATTTACCCTATTTCTACCTAATCTCCCTGTTCTTCTAGGGAGGGTATATACACCGGCTGAAACGGCAAATTTTTATCTTGCGCGCCCTCTACTCGCACAACCTACTACCCACTACCCACGAATCTTAGTTTCTCCTCAATCCCACCCCTGATTTCGAGCAACTAAAGTGGGTACGACCCCCCCTCCTACAAACTCAACCAGGTACGACCCCCCCGTTGTTACTCGTAACAACGTAGGGTTGACCCTGGTGGGGGGAGGGCAGCCACTTAAAGCAACAATCCAGGAACGAATTTGCGGGCTAAAAGCACCTATATTGAAGTTGTAGGTGAAAAGTGGGCGAAATAGAAAAAGAAAAGTGAGGAAAGCGCCTAACTGGGGCTTAGACAGGGGCACCCCCTCTGCCGTTCAGCGATGGGGGAAGACGTGTGTTGGACGAGTTGTCCAAATCTGCTCGCAGTAATGCGCTTCAATTGCGATTGCTTGCAAATACTTGGCTGATTGCTAGCAACTGTAATTGAAGCGCACGCTGAAATGAAACCTTGAATCGAAGGGGACACATTGAAAATCAAATACATTCGGCATCGAATTTTCAAAGGATAGACCTCAAATGGTCGCGGCGGTCCCGCAACGACCGCTAGTCAAGCATGGACTCTGTACAGCGTATGTTGAACGATCCGCCCTGGAATGAGCGAACCGCCCCCTTCGAGTGAATTTCGACCCCTTCCAGCGCATTTCAGAGGTAGGGACCTACATGCGGCGTCAGAGCGTCAGTTTTGAACTGCAGTGAAGCCTCTAATATGCTTAGTTGGGCGGGTGCGGCATGTTTCACCGCCTTTAATGAAGTGGTTAACACCTGTGGGAGGTGTTGCTTTAACGTGTGACATACAAGTGCCCCCCCCTTACGTGGATGAGACCATGTTTTTCAGAACAGGAACGGAGACACAGGCACGATGCAGGGAATTGCCATGAGCTTCTCGAAGTGCGATCAGTAACAACGGGTTGAACGCTTCATAAGCAGTGTTACGTAGAAGTGTTTGCTCGAAGATTCAGACACTGCGACGATCTCCGCGTCGGGGTCCGTCAGGTGGATGTCATAGTTTTGCGAATCGGGTTCGCTAGGGGAAGCGCGAGGATCGAGCGGTGGCGGCCAGCCGAATCGACATGCACCGGGAGTCGACGATGTGCCAGCTATCAATAGGTGGTGCGACGCCAAGTTTCGGAGGGAAGCCGCATTCGAACAGTGTGCGCTGGTCAAGTCCCACCACTGCAGAAGGTCACTGTCAGTGACACATTATGAAGTGGCGGGTCCTTTGAACGTTGGGTACTGCCACTGAGTAGAGTCGTGGTACGCTCGCGGCGACTCACTTGGGCGGCAATTTCCCTGAGCTCCTCTCTGCCGCCGTGGCTCCGCCGGCTTACCATCAGTGAGTATCATTGCTTTTATCATTTAGATGAGGTATTCCATTTCGAGTGCATATCCTATGGATTTCCTATGGAATGTGTCATCAACGAAAGCATGATCTTTGCTGGAATCGTAGCGGATATCGGTTTAACATGTGCAAACGGCCTTCTGTGTGTCGCGGCTAGCTGGTCGTACGGATCGGAGTGTCAAGAGGGGCAAAGGGAAAGGTTGTCCGCAGGTGTGTTGCGGCCTTGGAACGCGCGATTTTCTTTGTTTCTTCGCCACTAGGGCAATAGTCAGCATTTCCACATCCACTATGAACCTAATCCAATCTCATCGTAATCCCCCACTTGAACGCATTTGCGAAGCCCATTGTGCATCGCCGAGTATGCACGAAACTCCCCCATATGACATTTGTACATCACCGGATATGCACACCGGTTTTAGGCTCTCCTTCAAACACTTTCCATTACTTTTGTAACCTGTATCACCTGTCGTCCCGTTGATCATCGAATTGCTCGAGCGGGCGCCAGCAACGTCTCCATTCGTCCCTGTCGCGTGCTAGAGTGGTCCAGTGGATCCTCCTTGCTCGAGGGACACGAAGTCCATCATTCCTTTCGTTCAGAGCTTTCGTGAAGAAGTCTGACCATCGGGCCGGCGGTCGTCCAGGTGTTCGTTTGACGTCCCGAGGGATCCAGTCGGTAACCGCTCTGGTCCAACGGTCATCGCAAAATCGCATGACGTGTCCGGCCCACCTTATCTTCGATTCCTTGGCGAAAACGGCAGCGTCCCTGATCTTCGATCGTTGGCGTAGTTCCGAACTCCGGATTCCCCTCTGCACTTGCGTGTATAGGGTTACTCCTAGCATCGTCCTCTCGACAGCGCGTTGGATAACGCTGACCGCATGCTCGTCCTGCCTGCGCAGAGTCCAAGTCTCTGAGGCGTAGGTTAGGGCAGGAAGGACAGCGGAATCGAAGAGGTGGGCACGGAGCCGGATGTTCTTCGTCTTCTTCACTACTCCCTCGATGTTCTTGTACGCTCCCCAAGCCGCTCGTTTCCTCCTGCTCAGCTCTGGAGCTAGATCGTTCATCATATTGATTTCCCGACCTAGGTACACGTAGCTGGAGCATTCGGTGATGTTCGTTCCGTTGAGCGTGAATGGGGCATCAGGAACCAATCCGTTTCTCATAAACATCGTCTTCGTTAGGTTCAGCTGTAGACCAACCTTACCACAGGCGCAGTCGAAATCAGCCAGCATTCGCTCCGCTTGCTCGATGTTCGGCGTTATAAGAACGATGTCGTCAGCAAAACGAAGGTGGTGTAGTTGCCGGCCGTCGACCTTCACTCCCATGTCTTCCCATTCCAGTTGACGCATGACGTTCTCGAGAGCGGCGCTGAAGAGTTTGGGCGAGATGGTGTCGCCCTGTCGGACCCCTCTCTTGACGTCGATGATGACCTCCTTGTAGAATGGTGAGATCCTGGTCGTAAAGTTGCTGTAGAGCTCACGAAGAATCTTGATGTACTGAGTAGGGACGCCCTGGTTGCCCAAGGCTTCGATGACCGCTTCTGTCTCCACAGAGTCGAAGGCCTTCTTCAAGTCGATGAACGTGAGACAAAGCGGCATCTTGTACTCTCGTGAAACTTCAATGAGTCTTGTAACCGTGTGGATATGGTCGATCGTGCTGAACCCTCTTCGGAACCCTGCTTGCTCGCATGGCTGTCCTTCATCTAGTATTCTGCCGATCCTGTTAAGGATGACTCGTGTGAATAGCTTGTAGATTACAGACAGCAGGCAGATTGGGCGATAGTTGCCAATGTCGTCCAAGTCTCCCTTCTTGTACAGCAACACGGTCCTGCTGGTTTTCCACGGAGTGGGTACCTTGCATTCCGACAGGTAGCGCGTGAAGAGTCGAGCCAGAGTTCTGATGATAACTGGCGGTGCGTTCTTCAGATGTTCCGGTTTAACCCTGTCGAGACCGGGCGCTGTACAGTTCTTCACCGACTTGATGGCGTGTCGGACTTCGGAAGAGAGAACTGAAGGGACAACGTATCCATCCTCTCGCGGTTGATAAGTAGGCAGATGGACATGGCTATCGAAGAGATCCGAGTAGAAGTCGTGGATGACTTTCTCCATTGCCCTTCGGGATGCAGTAACTGTTCCATCTGGACGTCGGAGGCAGGTCATCTTGGTCTTGTAGCTGGCAAAGCTTCGGCGGGCATTGCGGATGCTCCTCCCAGCCTCTGCTGCTTCAGCTAATACTGCTGCTCTTCGCTCCTTGAGATCTTCCTTTATCGCCTCTCTGCATAGCTTCGCAAGCTCGGACGTGAGTCGGTGGTGATGCAGCTCGTGCGGCTCCACGCTGGCGTATCAGTTCGAGAGTTTCCGGAGACAGACGTCCCTTGGTGACTTTCAAACTCTCTGCCTTCTTGCCACAATCGTGAAGATGTTCAACGAGCCGATAGTACTCCTCGTCGATGTTTTCGATGACGGAATCCTCCCATAAGCTGACGAGGGAAGCGAAGTGGTCCCAGTTGATGACTGTCCTGGGATTTCGCTTCCTGAACTTTGCTGCTCTCTCAACACGCATCGAGAAGTGGAATCTTGCGCGGAGGAGACGATGGTCCGATCCCGTGTAGAACTTTGGAACAACAGCGACGTCGGTCAGGCAAAACCTTCGATTGAAGATGATGTGGTCTATCTCGTTATGGAACTGTCCATCAGGTGACTCCCAAGTCCAACGAAGGTGAGAGGGCTTCTGGAACTGCGAGTTACCATGGATGGTGTTGGTCGACATGATAAACTCAGACAGTCTTTCGCCCTGCTCATTCCAATCCATTCCGTGAGTACCGATGTGAAGTTCTTCAGCCGTTCTTCTCGGGCCAATCTTGGCGTTGAAGTCGCCGACGATGACCTTGAAGAAGGTATGATCTTCCTGTAGAACTTCTCCAATTCCATATAAAATGCTTCGTGTTCCTCCTCGTCGTAGCTCGATGTTGGTGCGTAGGCGACGAAGATTGTCAAAGCAGGAGTTGAACCACATCTTCTCAATCTCAAACGTCCGATTCGGGTCGTAAGGCTTTCGTACGAATCGATGTTTATGGCCAAGTGCGTGTTGACGAGGACACCCACACCGCCAACGCCTCTGCTGTCGCATGTTCCAAGGAACAGTTCTTCTCCAGTATCGAAAACGGCGTGTAGCGGGCGGTGCCTTCTCGTCTCGGTCAGTCCGATGACGTCGTACTTGATCTTCCTGGCCTGCATCATCAGATCTTCGATGTGAGCTTCGGATGCAAGCCGTTGCCACCGCTCTGCGTGCGTTGAAAGTACAGATCGCCATCTTAGTCCTTCTAGTTTTAGGCAGCCTATCCGGGCCCTGAGATTCTAGCAGCCTCTCCCGAGCGGTCCTACCCAACGCTGCCGTATTGGGGGCTCCCTCAGGTTCAGGGGAATGAGGCCCATCCATATTGCTGTTTTCGGCATATTGAAGGCACACGAGTAGCTTGCCAGGCTCTGTCGTGCGGGCTAGGATAGACCTCCAGGTAGTTAGCCACGCTATCCTGGAGCGGAACAAGGGGCTTATTTCTTGGAGGCGGCCCCGAATCGCCTCCCATGTACTTCCCAGTCACTTGAATGCAAGCTTTTGGCTGTGCCGACATGCAGGATACCAACCGCACACACACGAGAGCACACACACGCAAGCATGCATGGATACGCCTGAGTGGAGACAGCTGGTATGAATCAACACAGCACTACAGAACAGGGAGTCCATCCCCTGAATCCACCTGCGTCTCAGGGCAAGTACATGGTGGCTTTTGGTCCGCGATTTACCCCCTATCCGCCACCTGGGGTCGCGCCACGTAGCCTCGCCACCAACCGGCTCGAGATCTTTCAGTGAGAGAGGACCCTCAGTGAAAGAGATCCGTGGAGTGAAAGAGATCCG